CAGAACTCCGTAGAGGTATTACGTGTTGCGCGCGTTCCTGCTCTTATCTTCAGTATTGAGGAGTACAATGGAGCGCTCCACTATACCCCCCTCCCGAACTCCAGTTTTACCGTCAGTGTTTTCTATTCCCTTTTTAGACAGATCATTCTATTAAAGTCAAGAATCAGCCAGCAATATGTAGTATCAACCGTCTCATTTCCCACTGTTACTCAGGAAAATGATAGGGGTTGGTTAATAGTGTGGAAGCTGGTGTCCTGAAGTCGAGGGATTGATTGGGCGCTGTTTGTTGAACGAGTACCATCATATAAAACATACGGAAAAAACACACAATATTGGAATCACCATCCTTTGGAACATTTGCTGTGACCCTTCCCATTGAAGCGAACGCAGTGTCATCGGTTAGAGGCGCTGCATTACATCTACACAGCTCATGCGATCAGATCCAGTTATTGATATCTAACCTGAAGCTAGGCGATGTATGGCGGCGCTTCCTTCCTACCAGGCAAACTGCCCTTCCAAAAGATGTTTTTGTAAAGCCACTTATCATGAGCTGCAGCATCGCACTTTTCCCGATTCTCGCCTAAAAGAAAGCCCAAGAATTGATTGCAGCTCTGTGACAAGCTGTCCAGGCGCAATGTGCCTCTGGGCCATTTTGTAGGAAGACCACTAGGGCTAAGCTCAGGGGGAGGGATGAACTGTAAAGAAAGAGGACTATTGACGCACCTCAGATTTCCTCTGAGGCTTAGTCCTAGAACTGGAAGGAAAAGAAAAAGAAAAAAAGAAACTGAAGCAATGTTACGCGCTGCTCCCCCTCTCCCTCTCAAGCCACTTTGCGCGGCTCTCTATTAGTGTCTATACATTTTCTGAAGAGATCGCCACCTTATAGGATTGTCCGGTCAATTTCCTCACTACGATAAACATCATGAAAATGAAATGAAAGTGGAAACATATAATGCATTCTTAGTGTTGAGCGCGATTCTTCAGACTACGGTTTGCCAAGCGAAAGTCAGCGCAAGCTCGGGTAGTTATGGGCAAAATGCTGCGCCTCAGGCGGGTATCGAGTTTGCATCTTTCGCTTTTAGGACAGAGGTGCGGATTTCATCGCAAGAGGTTTTTTATATGACCTAGCTCCTTTGTGATAAAGGCGATTCTTATCTTCGAAGACTCTCTAACATCAAGTTCCATGATGTGGGAAAAACAACACATTCCAATCTTTATTTCCCCAACATTCACGAAGAAATTATATCCGTTCACAGTCGTGCTCCGATCTTGGCCAGAAGCTTGTTGATCTCACTTATCACTTGAGTGATCATTCCGTAGGCGCCAAGACTGCGAAATTTCGCATCAAACGCGCTCCTGCTCGATGGAAGAATTTCTCTGTAATATCATTCAATTATAAAAAACACTCAAAACTTGACCTCAACATCGGTTATCTCAAAACGAAGAAAAAACGATGTGGACTGGATTTGTATCGCCCACATGCCAAAACAGATCGGATATTTGGCAATTTTTGAAGAAGCAACATGAGAAATTTGGCCAACAAAGCTTTGAACGAGCTTTGTTTTACAAAAGTGGGTTACCTCAGTTCTTTTCTTATCTTATCGGGCTTCAGCGGTTTCAATT